TGTCATCAGCCACCAGTGCCTAACAGTTTAAAGACAGAGTCGTTCTTACAGCGTGTACGTTCCTGCTCTTAAGCAAGAGCAACTTGTGAACCACCACTAGTTCGAATTCGATACTCTCCGTTCTAAGCCTGAAACTCTACCCGATGAGCAGTCCCGCTCTTAAGATACGATATCTGGATAATGGTATGTAACTAAGCTGAAGTGATACTTATACGTCAATGAATTACGTTAGCAGAGCTCCGACTGCGGTAAGTTTTATAGCTGCCTCAGAAGAGGTTTGCTTTGAATTCGGAAGTAACCTTGCTTAAGGTTATGATTAAGTTTTACGATGTATCTTTAGCGATCTAATGTCCAGAGTTGCTTTTCCGTGAATCCTACTCTTCACTTTAAAGAAATCACGTCGACCCTTAATCGAATAGTACGAAGAACTTATTCGACTTTTGCACTTGAGGCTGTAGCGAAAACTTGTTACGAATTCAGAAACTCTCGATCAGCCAGAAATATGGAAACGTGAGCTTTTTGCTTTATACGTTATTAATAGTATTTTCAGCAGTACAACTTAATCAGATGAAGAGCGTTTTTTATCCCAATTAAAACCGAAGCAAAGAGGATACTGTGCTGATGCTTATTCGTGATACTTCCTAGCGGGGTAAGAGCGTCATTCGGTCGAACGAAAAGCAAGCGAACGAAGGGGTGAATCACAGGCAAAATGAGCATGCTCAATTATCCCTTCTTTAACACACACTGCAGACTTGGGCAATGGCCAAATCGTCTACCAAAGTTAAATCACATGAATACTGCGATCAGACTGACGGGATTCCCGTTACCAGGGATAGGGCTGATCAGTAAATGAGGCAATCAGCTTCGCTATGGCCTGTAGACGAAGTATCAAACTAGAAGAGTACATTGATAAGTAGGTTGCTCGTGGGAGTCATTGGGAAAAGATTGACCGGCTCCAAAAATGGCTTGCTTCGTGCGAAAGCCCGTGTTTTGTTAAGCACGGATGGCGATTTTCAAAACCGGAACAAGTTTTCGTACAAGACAACGGAACACAAATGGTTGTGTCAGCACTTTAAAAGTAGATTTCATAACAGTTTCACGGTCGAACTGAAGTTGAATGGGTGCCGTGCAAATTTGGCTGTATGCTTATGTCGAGGTAGGTGGTTTGAGTATTTCCATCGTGCGTCGGTGGTCATGCTGAACACGCTTTTTTACACACATCGCATTCCATATGGTAAATCTGATGATTTGTCAGTACCCACGTTTCGGCTTGGCTTGTCTCGCCCGATAAGAGGTTGGTTGATTTTTTTTTGTATGGGGGAAGGGAGTTCTTGTTATTCGCAGCGGTTGGTAGTTTTGAGCGAGAAGGGCATCTTTTGGTCTTTGCTGCTTGTTAAGTAATCTCATGACGATAGCAGCGACAAGTCTCATACAGTCCGCTCAAAGTTCGTATCCTTTTTCACGGTTGACATTGTCGCCAGACTGACTGACTAATGCGTCCTTCACGCGTCCGTTCTGCGAGTGCCGGTAAACTTTGACCATCCAGGGCGTGGCTTTGCTCTGTCACGTGTTTCATATTTCAGGAGGTCTTTTCCCCCTGTTCTTTGATTTGGCTAGGTGGGGGTAGGTGGTTCGGGTAGAATTTGTTTTCTTCGCGGGTGTTCCGTTACCAAGTATCGCTCACTCACGCTCATTCGCGATCGTCCATCTTCTGTAACTCGACGGCTGGATCTTTGTTCTTCGAGTGACGGTGTTAACGTATATAATATTTCCCAGCCTAAAAAATTACTTAATAACGCATCTGAGTGGCCGTTTTATTTGCTTTATATGTAAATCAAACCGTTTTATGCTGTTTTTAAAGGTGGATAGTTATAATTTTGTTGTACACATCCAGACGTGATGAAAAGAAGGAATAGGCGTCCAGTGTCGGTTTCCGATACGGTCCTACCAGCATCTCAAGGAAATGATGGAAGTTTCTAACTTTGTGAATATCGATCTCTCTTATACGTCGCCGAAATGCGCCATTTGGGAAACTGGGAAACCGTTCTTTCGTTTAGCTTGTGTAGAGACATGTTTGCAGTCAATGATGCGTTACTCAGGCTTGTACTGTTTACCGCGTGGTAGGAAATACTTAGCGTCATCTCATCCTTCTTTCCCAGTTTGTGGTACGTGACAGTAAGCCAGCCGTATTGCTACCCAATCTTTCCTGTTCGCCGGTGTTTCTGCATTTATGCTCGTTTCTTCTTGTCAGTAGTCATAAATTTGTTTTAGGACTTGTTGCGTTTGCGGGCATGCAACCGGGACTGTGGAGCGTCAAGGGCGGAAACCACTTAGTCTCTTCCGGACTGATCTCGAAGACGAGGGCGCACTTGCGAAATTCAGAGGTGATCAGTGTAACTCGAAGTTCAGGTGGTGGCTATGCTGTATATTCGACATCGTCCAGTGGTGCTGAGAAACAAGTCGACGTTTACGATGCAGTCATTGTGGCAGCCCCCATAAT